AATTTAGGTTCTTAATAGTAATTTATAAAATTGTTGGGTTTATTAAACCAAACATTTCAAATGATCATATATATTATAAGCAAAGTAAAATTTTAAGTTAAAGCTCTCTCATTCAATCTTAAGGTGGCTAATTACCCTTTACTCCTTCTTATATTTTTAAAAATTAAATTTAATAAAAAACTTATAAAAAATCGTAAATTAATTAAAAAAAAAGTTTATTAAAAATCGTAAATTAAATAAAAATATTAATCGAAATTAAATCAAAAAATATTTAAAATATAAAATAACAAAAATTTAAAAATTGGAATTTAATCAATAAAATACTTAATATCATCATATATCATATAAGCAAAGTAAAATTTTGAGTTAAAGCTCTCTCATTCAATCTTAAGGTGGCTAATTACCCTTTACCCTTTCTTATATTTTTAAAAATTAAATTTAATAAAAAACTTATAAAAAATCGTAAATTAATTAAAAAAAAGTTTATTAAAAATCGTAAATTAAATAAAAATATTAATCGAAATTAAATCAAAAAGTATTTAAAATATAAAATAACAAAAATTTAAAAATTGGAATTTAATCAAAAAAATACTTAAAATCATATCATATATAATATATGCGAAGTAATTTTTCGCTATAAGGTCTCTCATTCAATCTAGGTAATTAATTCCCCTTTATTCGTTAATAAATATTTTAAATATTATTAATTAATTTATTTATTTTCATAGTTTATATAACAATTTTGCTGCCACTTTTAATTATTATGATAATATTAAAAGAATTTCAATTGGATTATCTATTGAGCGAGATTATCAGGAAAAAAAATCGTAAATTAATTAAAACTTATTAAAAATTGTAAATTAAATAAAAATATTAATCGAAATTTAATCCAAAAATATTTAAAATAAAAAATAACGAAAATTAAAAAATTGGAATTTAATAAAAAAAACATTTAAAATCATATCATATATAATATATGCGAAGTTAATTTTTCGCTATAAGGTCTCTCATTCAATTTAGGTAATTAATTCCTCTTTATTTGTTAATAAAATCTTTTTAAATCTTCTTAATTGATTTATTTTCGTAGTTTATATAACAATTTTGCTGCCACTTTTAATTATTTTGATAATATTAAAATAATTTCAATTGGATTATCTGTTGAGCAAGATTATCAAGAAAAAAAATCGTAAATTAATTAAAAATTATTAAAAATTGTAAATTAAATAAAAATATTAATCGAAATTTAATCAAAAATTATTTAAAATAGAAAATAACGAAATTTTAAAAATTGGAATTTAATCAAAAAAACATTTAAAATCATATCATATATAATATATACGAAGTTAATTTTTCGCTATAAGGTCTCTCATTCAATCTAGGTAACTAATTCCCCTTTATTCGTTAAAAAAATCTTTTTAAATATTCTTAATTAATTTATTTATTTTTGTAGTTTATATAACAATTTTTCTGCCATTTTTAATTATTTTGATAATATTAAAATAATTTCAATTGGATTATCTGTTGAGCGAGATTATCAGGAAAAAAAATGTACATGTGATGTGAGAAATCCTAGCTTAAGTTGAGATCTATATATAAATATATTACTTTTTAAATGTATCTTAAGCTCAATTGTGGTTTGGTTTCTACATTGTTTAGTTTTTCGTTGTATTGTTTACCGTCTTTATTTTTTATAAATTAATTTTCAATTTTTTTTTTTGTTTTTTCGTTTTATAGTACCAATAGTAGTGTTCCTCGATTATATATTGTTGTTTTGTGTTGTCAGTTATTCTTCCTTACTTAACGTGATTAAAACCATGTCAACATATCATAAATCATCTTCATTGTCTAATGAACAGGTTTTAAGTCTTTTGTTTTTTTTTTGTTTTTTTTAAATATGGCTTTCTGAATTCTGTTTATTTTTGGAAAAATGTAAGAGAGGCCAAATACTCTAGCAGGACGCAGAGGAAAAAACCAAAAAAGAAAACATAAAAAGGGGAAAAGGGAAAAACGAAGTAGAAAAAAAGAGAAAAAAGATAAATTGAAACAGAACATAGAGTTGACAGAAACGTAAAAAAATGAGGAAAAATGAACAAAAAGTCCTAGACCATGAACGATAAGATCAAGATGGATAACACAAAATAGTGAAGAAGAAAAATGATAAAGAGATGAAGAACTCAAAGTTGAAGAAGAAAACTGAAAGAAAAAGAAGAACAAAAATGGTAGATGAAAAAAATAAAGTATAAGAAGATGAAAATCCGACGATGAAAAAGAAACGAAAAAGAATAAAGTAAAGATGCGAAAAAGACAAACAAAAATTAGAAAGAAAAAAT